AACTTGATCATCTTTCTGCCAATGCTCTTTTAATATGCTGTCAAGTTAATATGTAAAAAAAAAATTTTTTTTAAATCGCTTTTCATCATTTTAACAAATGCTGGTATATGACACTATCGTGAAGTCATAACTGTGAAAACCATTTTTTATTTGGGTTTTTCCCCCCATATATATTCATCTATGTTCTGAGCATTTTTAAGTTATTTACAAGAGTGCACACGCTGAAATGTCTCGCCTTCTTTACTAATCATTGATATTATGTTGATAGTCCTAAATATAAAGCTTTATTACAACTGTCACATAAACTTAACATTAACCAAGTAAACTAAACATTGACCAATGAACCATGAAAATGAGGTCAAGGTCAGATGAACCATGCTAGGCAGGCATGTACAGCTAACAATTCTTCCATACAACAAATATAGTTGACCTATTGCTTATAGTTTAAGAAAAACAGACGAAAACACAAAAACTTAACACTGAGCAATGAACCTTGAAAATGAGGTCAAGGTCAAATAAAACCTGCGTGACTGACATATAGATCATAAAATATTTCCATACACCAAATATAGTTGAACTATTGCATATAGTATTAGAAAAAAAGACCAAAACTCAAAAACTTAACTTTGACCACTGAACCATGAAAATGAGGTCAAGGTAAGATGACACCTGCCAGCTAGACATGTACACCTTACAATCATTCCATACACCAAATATAGCTGACCTATTGCATGCAGTATTAGAAAGAAAGACCAAAACTCAAAAACTTAACTTTGACCACTGAACCATGAAAATGAGGTCAAGGTCAGATGACACCTGCCAGCTAGACATGTACACCTTACAATCATTCCATACACCAAATATAGTAGACCTATTGCATACAGTATAAGAAAAACAGACCAAAACACAAAAACTTAACTATAACCACTGAACCATGAAAATGAGGTCAAGGTCAGATGACACTTGCCAGTTGGACATGTACACCTTACAGTCCTTCCATACACCGAATATACTAGACCTATTGCTTATAGTATCTGAGATATGGACTTGACCACGAAAACTTAACCTTGTTCACTGATCCATGAAATGAGGTCGAGGTCAAGTGAAAACTGTCTGACGGGCATGAGGACCTTGCAAGGTACGCACATACCAAATATAGTTATCCTATTACTTATAATAAGAGAGAATTTAACATTACAAAAAATCTGAACTTTTTTTTCAAGTAGTCTCTGAACCATGAAAATGAGGTCAAGGACATTGGACATGTGACTGACGGAAACTTCGTAACATGAGGCATCCATATACAAAGTATGAAGCATCCAGGTCTTCCATCTTCTAAAATATAAAGCTTTTAAGAAGTTAGCTAACGCCGCCGCCGCCGCCGGATCGCTATCCCTTTGTCGAGCTTTCTGCGACAAAAGTCGCAGGCTCGACAAAAACCATCATATTTTAGGCCAAAAATTAACCCTAAACTGGTTCAAAGTTTACAGTATATGCATGTTTTCAATTTTAGTTCCAAATAAAATTGTAGGCTCTGTTTTGCTAAGCAACAATTGATGTAAAAAAAAAATATTCAAAATTGACAAGAACTTGTTATATATCATTTATTTAAGCTACATTGGAGACGAAGCTCAAATATAACTTCATATAATGAAACATTGAAGTTAAGCTAACCAAGAATATATATCCATAGGATACCATGCCCACCTCCTGCAAACTATTACATTTACATGTTCAATGAATCACAAAATTTGGATCAAAACCCTAATTTGGCATATTATAAAACAGTTCACTTTATTTTTAAACATAAGTAATAAGTTTCAAGTTAATGCAACTATTAGCTACAGAAAACCAAAACTTGTGTGGGACCAAAACTGATATGGGGTGGATGATTTAACTAATGGATTGAATAACGTACAGACTGATGCACAGACGGGAAAACATAATTGTAGAAAGGGCTTAAAAAATGTAATATGGATGTCAAAATTTCAATACAAAATCAGCAACTGGCATGCACATCTAAAGTGTTGGTGTTCTTTGATCTTTATACAAAATATTATTTACTATTCTTTTGTATGGGATGTTATCAACTGTTAAGTCTTCCTCGTTAGACATGATTAAAGAGAAATATTGATGACTTGTTCATGATATTTAGTATTCTAAGCTTGGGGTACCAACTGATAGCATTGTGGTCATTCCAATAGTTGTGTTGTAAAAAGCAGTATCACTGAAAACTGTAGAACATCATTTCACTAATCTTGATTTTTGTTTCCCTATGAAATATCAAGTGCTTTTCCTCTGAAAAAGTCTAACTATATCTATTACTAATGAAAACCATTTTATTCTAATTGACAAATTTTATGGGTTCATTCAATTTTCTGATTACTACATTTGTATTTAGCAATTAGTTATTAGAATAATTTCCAAAGATGTGCAGTACTAGAGGAAATAGTTTAAGAAAAAAAAAAGTTTTTTAAATGAATTTGAATTTGAATAAATCAAACTTCCTTTGTAATCTATAACTGATATTATCCAAACAACTTCCCACAATCACTAGATCTGAATTGTAAAATCTGGATACTAAAAAAATAGCTTTTAAATATTACACTCACTTACATATTACCCGTGTGTTATATTTTTGCCATTTTAGACTAGATACCCTAAAGATCATTCAGGTCAAGTTTGGCTGAAATTGGTTTAGTAGTTTCAAATTCATAGATTTTTTAAAAGATAATGATGAATTATGGACGATGGACAATAGAGTTTGCTGGTCCATTGGGCCAGGTGAGCTAAAAAGGTTATCTGATTCCCCTAGATACACCAAAAAATCTAAGCTACATTATGTAATGCTTTTAAACTTAACTTAAATATTTTGTTCGTTCCATTTTCTTACTTGTAAATAACATTGAGATTATAGAAATCACTTTAAAAAGTCTTGTATATATCACACCAATAAAAGGTTTCTGACAGTAATATTCAGTAATTCAATCTTAAAGTGGACACACATTATATAAAATTTGGGAAATGGATGTTTTTACACATTCAGAAACAATTATTTCAATCAACAGAAATAGACTCCCACTAGTGTATCTTTATTTAAGACAGTAAGATTGGTATAAATAATTTATTATCTTGCTTCCTCTAAATGGATTTGCTGCATTAAGTGTTTGTCAGTTATATTCAAGGCAATCAGACTTAATTAACTCCAACTAAGAGATGCTTGCTAAGGTACAAGATATAACAAATACGGTATGAACTTCTTTGATTCAAGAAGCTACAGTTAGGTGACTCTGAAAATTTTCTTTCTATCTTTTTAAGTTATCTAATTACATTCAAACCTGTACATAAAGGTCACTCTTAGGAACAGAGAAAACTGACCTTATACAAGAAATGACCTTTGAATTGATGCTCAAAATGCATAGTTATTACTACAGCAGGACAAGACGTCACAAATAGCACAAATTTTGATTTTCCAAGAAAATTCAAGAAAACAAAATAATGATTTTTTGGACTGGAAACAAAGAGCCCATTTGTCTACAAGAAAGATCTTTTATAATAATGTTTGTTATAACATTTCACATGTCTGATTTGAATATCTAATTTGTCGAAGCCTGGGCTCAGTTTTCTACACCTAAATTTGACAGGAATCCAGAAGATTTTGTCAAATTTCATCAAAATCTCAAATTGTGACCTATTTGGGTTGAAGATGTTAATGCTTTACAAAAAAAAATTAGATGTGTCGGAATGATTCAAATGGCCCCTCTGGCAAAAAGAAATTGAAGCCATTTTTAGGAATGGATATTTGAGAATGAAAGTCTGTATAACTGTTATTTTCATGACATTTTCAAAGTCCAAAAGCCTGTAATTTCAGCAAAAATCAGAGGAGCAGAACCAAAAGTAAACTAGATCTGTAACTCATAATAATTCAATCATGTACTAAAAATCAGCTTAATATGTGAAGGCGTTTAGAAAAAAAGTCTGTATAACTGTTTGTTGTGGATTGACAGAATGATGGAATGACGGATAAGGGTTACACTATATGGCCCCGACTACTTTCTTTTCATCAACTTAAAACATTTTTTATCTTCAAACTATGGACTTAATATTCTGGACCAAATATGGCCCTTATCGAACTTACTCCTTTGTTATCAGTAACAACATTACAAAATCAGAAAAGCATTTGATGAACAGATCACAAGTTATTGCACGGAAACAAAATAAAGAGCCGTTTTCTAATCAATCAAGGACTATAACTCATTAAAAGCAAAAGAGAAAATCACCAATATTGAACTTGACCTTTTTTTTGTAATAAGTAACAACTTATTAAAAGTAGTTAGTTCACGAAGGGTTAAAATTGGCCCTAAGATCTTGATGTTTTTTCAATCAGGTCAAAATACGACAAATGTCACACAGAAATAGTTATGATAATCCTATTAATACAAAATAACTGCTTTTTGGCACATCACATTGTAAATGACAAAGTATTGACCCTTTAATTTTGCATTATTTGTGCAGTAACATAAGTTTTGGTCTAATATTTCCATAATTCTAACAATTTTTAGTATAATTTACTTTGACTGCCACCCTTGATCCAGAAAATCTTTGTGTCTAAGGATACAATAAAAAAATCCAGAAAATCTTTGTGTCTAAGGATACAATATCATCTTTTGATAAAGTTGAAATTCAAGGCCATTTTTGGCCTTGGTGAACCCTGCCCTTTGAAAGCATAGGTTGAATGGTTCTGAAATTATTGCACAAAAAAGAAACAAAAAAAAATACATGAAAAACATTGAAAACATTTTTACTTTCATTTTAGTATATTCAAATGTCTAATTGATGACATATAGTTTTAAAGAACAGCTTTAAAATTCCTGTTCTATGATCTTTGATATGCTAGTTATTTCTTAGTATTTCAAGGACTCATGTGTATCTATCTTATTCTATTTCTTTCTCTATCTGTTTAATGCATCAATTTTTGAGAACTTAAGGATATACTATACCTCGTCTCTATTTTCATCTCTAGAAACAGACAGAAATAGATTTTTAGGGACTGGTGGACCACGAACTACAGCTTCCTCTATATTATCAATCCCAAGATGCTTTGCAACATCTGCTGCTGTTGACAGTGTGGCAGTTGCTGTAAGGCCAAGGAAACATTTTACACCAAACCTCTCTCTTAAAACCTGTAAAATATAGAAATATTTAAAACATGTAACTCCGTTAGGAATATACTAATCAAGAGAAATAACCTGAGGGAATCCCATGAACTAAAAAAACTATCTAAAGAGCAGCTGCAGTTTAAAAGTGAAATTGAAGATAAGTTTGAAAAGACAAAACTGCAAGTCAATTAGTATCTGATTTCACAAAAAGTCTTAAGACAAAAAATATTCACAAGTCATGAACATTTCAGTATAACTAATTACGATCAATTTTTGTAGTAAGAGTTTTTGTGAAAATAACCCAGGGTGACCTACTTTTTATTTTCAACGGTACAATAGAAACCTCTTTTCATAAAATATATGACATATATTAGTAAATGAAGGACTTCTTGGTTTTTTTTTTTGTACAGCCGAATTAATTAATGAATGATTGATTTTCCAAGGAGAAATTTATACTTCTCATTGCATAAACTCCACAGAACAATAATAACTATACTACTAAAGGAAGAGACTGATTTCATTGAGCCGAAACTCCTCTAAAACCATACAAAGTCAGAAATATTTGTGATATGACGTATAAATGTAGTGTTTTGTAATTTCTAAATTTGTCCTTGAAACAATCTTTTTTCCACAGAAAACACCAATTTTTGAGAAAATATCCAAATTCGGAGACCGTTATCGATCCGAGTCTAATAGGCTTTCGTGCATGCTCAGTCGACGTACTGCCCGCGAAAATCCAAGTGAAAGTAAGAAGAAAGGATAGAAAATAGGACAGTTAGGCCTATAAGGATCCTGTATTGTATTGTAAGTGCATCATTTTGCTAAATTAAACGACATCCACCCTTTTTACTCAGGTGCAGAACTGTCCAAAAATGAAATGAGCTATGAACATGTTTAAGTGATCCTCCCCCCTTTTTATGTGTAAACACAGGCACCCGACGTCTGTACCCCTCCCCTTTTTTATGTGTAAACCCCCCCTACCCAATGATTTGACTAAAAGATGAAATTATTCAAACTTGCAAATTTATTAGCAAAAAAACGACTGGATCGTCGATTACAAACAAACAGAGAATTATTGAACATAATGCTAGAAAGCCCCCTTTGACTTTTCACATCCATTCACCCATTTAAGAATTAGGGGCTAACAAGGGCCAGCTTGGGTGTTGTTCACATATTTGCATATACAGATTGTTTATTTTCAACGTATTTTAATGGAGTTTGTTTGTTTTATTGCTAATAAGATTCTGCAACTTGAATACGTCAACAGATTTGGAGTTAGTGCACGTCAATTGTTTCTGAGATACAAGAGGGGTTGATTCCTGATGAAGTGTTTAAGATTTTATTTTTCATCCGATTAAGATGGGATTTTTTGCATTGTGTTACTCATTTTGATCCCTTTCAGTAATGTCAAAGGATTTTATGTAGCTCATACATGCATTTATTGAGTTAAAAGGGTAAAAAACTACTGAAAATCACACTTTGCCACACGTTTCTTAGGGTATTCAATATTTTTATTTTCCAACCGAGATGAATGGGGTCTTTTGCATTATGTTCCTCATTTTCATCTCTTTAAAGAAATAGAATTAAATGCATTAACCGTGTCCAAATCCTTACTGAGTCCATACTCTTTGTTTCAACACTTGCCCAATTGTACCACGATTTCGCAGGCATCTTCTAGTATATATAATAGCTGTAGACATTGTATTTATTCAATGAGACAGTTCAATTTGCAAAACCTTTAATGGCTAGGTAAACACCAACTAATTCTGGGGAAATGTTTCATTTCCTTCACTTGATATATAGGTTAAAATTTGCAGAATGTATACATTTGTAATTTATGATGCATATTAAGACTGATCATAACTGTTTCTATCTTCAGTGACACTGTACCATGTGAATAATGGTCAATGTTAACGTTCCACTGTTAATTCTTGATTCCTTCTTTAGTACCTCATCAACTCAATGACATATATGTCATAATGCCTTTAAGAAGTAATTATGAAGGAAGCCATATTCAAACTTTCATTATTATAGTTTTTACATTCATGAACTGTAAAAAATGTTTTATTTCTTTTGCACTGTTACCATAGAAGTGCAATTGATAATGTGTTACTCCTATGATAAAGCCAATTAAAGATATTCTTCCTGCTAAATAATTGCATGCAACGATAGGCCTGTAATGTACAAAAATATAAATGCCTTCGTGACCCAGACACTGTCCCATAGTAATGAGGCAATTACTATAGAAACCCATAAGTTGTTTCCCCGATTTACCCTACAATCTATTACCAGAGTCTTAGCCTGTTATACCATCTAATTTTCTGATTTCAAGCTGACTTTCCAACATACATATCAACCATACTTAACATTCAAATTAATCTTAAACATGGCAATAATTAGACAGACAAATTGCACCATATATCAGATAAGAAGGCCTGTTAGACATCCTAATGAATATCAAAGCAATAAATATTTGAAGGATATCCAATTTGAAGAAAATATTGTAAAATTAATTCAATCAAGTTCAACCAACTTGAAAAAAACATAGACACAAAATTTTGCTTTATTTGCATTCCATATTCCCATGATATACTGTAAATATTTCCAATTTTTGCATTCTTAGTGCTTTAAATTCAATATTTTGAAGATAAGTGTCTCATTAAATTAACTTAAACATGAGATAGTGTATTATTTTTGGAAGTCTGTTTATATATTTTGATTTATTTAATACCCAAAATATATATTTTTTTTTTTACATTTTTTTATTTTCTCATAATTATAAACTGTTATCACAGAGATATGTCTCGTCTTTTTGTAATTTTGATAATGCAAATGTTGAAATTAAAATAGCAATACTTTAACATGTAAGTTATGCAAATATTCAAAGTTGATGAACCATGACTGAAGGTACATGGCTAAACAATCTCCATGGAATGAGATACAGTATGCCAATGTTAATACAACTGTATACCAAATACCATTGACTTATTATAAGTCGTTCCCTTTAAACAAACCTAAACACAAACATTAACTTGTAAACTATGTAAAAGTTTCAAAGTCAATGAACCATGATCAGGGGTGGGGGATAATAATCTTCATGGAAACAATACTAATGCAAATGCCAATAAATTTGCATACCAAATATCATTGACTTAACATTATCAGTTCATCTTAAACTGATCTAATCACAAACTAATACATGTAAACTAAGCAAAAGTTTCAAAGTAAATAGACCATGACTGAGGGGGCGGGGCCAAATATTCTCCATGGAAATGAGATGTGCTAATGCTTACACAACTGAACACCAATTTTGGCCTACCACTAATGGTTCCCCTTGAACTGACCTTATCACAAACTAATACATGTTAGCTTAGCAAAATTTTCAGTCTATAGACCATGACTAAGGGGGCAGAGCCAAATAATCTCCATGGAAATGAGTGAGATATGCCAATGCTTATACAACTGTATACCAAATATCATTGACCTACCACTAGTGGTTCCCCATAAATTGACCTAATCACAAACTAATACATGTAAACTATGAAAAGTTTCAAAGTCAATAGACCTTAACTGAGAAGGCGGGGCCAAATAATCTCTATGGTAATGAGATATGCCAATGCTAATACAACTGCATACCAAATATCATTGACCTACCACTAGTGGTTCACCATGAACTAGACCTAATCACAAACTAATACATTGTTGACGCCGCCGCCGTCGCCACCAACGCCAGAAACAGCATACCTATGTCTCGCTTTTTGACTCCCGTCAAGGCGAGACAAAAAGACTTCTGTTTTACATTTTTCGATAAATATGCAGGTGTTGTGGTCAAATGTAATATTTTGATATTTTCTGTTAAATATTGCAAAAAAAATACCTCCTCTCTAATTTGTAAAAAGGGATTTTGTTGATTTTTCTTAAGGTCAACAAACAGTAAAAGGGCTATATCACAGATTTTGGTAAAATTTTGTGTACAACTTTGGCATGTAGATCTCTAACTGAAAAGTAACAAAAAAATACTTTTGAACTGTTATACATTGTACTTGCTAAAATATGATTGTCTTGTGTAGAAATTCCAGTAGGGATCATTTTATTTTCTCAAAATTAAAAACAATATGAATGAAAATCCCTTATTATAAAGTTCAACATTTGTAAGAATGTATGTATAATCTATCAAAACTTTGTCAAACTTATCTCTAAAAACTCCTTTCTCTACATACAGTACACAGATTTTTCTTCAAAGACAAATTTTCATTTTAATGATGTAAAATAATAATAAGGTCACCCACTTTGTCTGGTAGTTTACATCAGTCACATTCATTATTAGTTTTCTAAAATATCAAAAATGTAGTCAGTGACCATATGATTATTTCATATCAATCAAAGGAAAGGTTATGTATTTACAATATATCATTTTTTAAGAAAGATCTATGCATTTGTTTTGGATATTTGATGATTAAAGACAATTCTAAGAACATAATTTGATGGGAACTGAAATCAATATAGATGAAACAGTTTGCTTCAAGTGACTTTGCCTTGGATTTATCAAGTTTTTAACCTGAGCAATTTTGGTTTCAAAATTAACAACTTATATTTCTTCAAATTAACAACTTATATTTCTAAATAGCTTTTTAAAAATTAAAATTTAATTGACAGTATCGAAAAAAGTAGTATTTCATTTTCCTTGCATTGGGTTGTTCATACTCACATGAAGGAAGTCAACTTTGGAGCGCTGTATGATTTAGATGTATGGGTGTAATATATTTTTGCATTTATTTCTGAACAACTGCAATGTTTATATTTACAATTATAAATTTTGAATCACATGGAGATATTTGTTTGAGAATTATTCGAAAAGGCCTCTGAATTTTCATAAGATTTAAAGTGATGGTTGCTATGGATACTACAAACACGCTCACTAGCTAGGAAGAAGGTCATGCAAAGTATCAATATCACACATAGCTGTCTTGCTCTGGTTTTTATCATAAAAGTAGCAAATTTAGAAAATGTTATAATTATCACCA